TGCTTGGCCTGCTGTGTTCATCCAGCCCTGCACCTTGTTGTCTCGGACCCTATCTCTGTTGTGTGAGGGAAGAGAAGGAGTGAGGGCAGAAGTGTGGGAGATGGGTCAGACACAGCTAAGGGCCTTGTTAGCCACAGTAGTGGGGAATCCTCAGTTGGACATTTCTGAGAGCCCCCCTGTGGAGAGTGGTATCATCAGAACAGATGCAACAGGGGCAGAGAAACTGGAAAAATGAGATGGAATCCTTACAGGCAGCAAGGCTAGTGATGGATATCGGTGACCAGCCTATCTGCTTAATTTAGATCTCTGGCATCTGCAGTTCTTTGTTTTATGACATAGATGAAAATATAACTTGCTATCTTTCAGCTCCCACCCCAACTCTTTTTCCTGCCATTTAATTTCTTGTCTACTGCTCACCGTCTTTGATTAACTGATGCTCTCTCCTTCCACTATCCCATGTAAAAACCCATAGTGAACAGGCACAAATACACCGTTTCCCAGATATTACTGGCATGTATGACTGCTTTATCACTCTCTCAAAAGTCAAAATCAAACTTAGCAGGTCTGGCAGTATGTATGATGAGAAAGCAGAGTTAAATGTTTCAAGTACCATTTCTGAAGAAGGGTTACTGGACCTGAAATGTTAACTCTGCTTTATCTCCAAGTACTGCCAGACCTACTGAGTTTCTTCAGCAATTTCTGCTTTAGTTTCAGATCTTCAGCATCCATAGTTCTTTGTTTTATTTTGTTTCATTATTCACTTTGTTCATATTATTCTCAACACTCATTACTGGCCTTAAAAAAAATCACCATCATCCAAATTTGAGTGGCACAGTGGCTCAGTGGTTAGCACTGCTACCCCACAGCACCAGGGACCTGGGTTCAATTCCACCCTCAGGTGACTGTCTATGGAGTTTGCATGTTCTCCCCATGTCTGTGTGTGTGTTTTCTCCCAAAGATGTGCAGCTTTGGTGGATTGGCCGTGCTAAATTGCCCCATAGTGTCCAGACTGGGTGGGTTAGCCATGGGAAATTCAGGGGTAGGGTGGGATACTCTTTAGAGGGTTGGTATAAATGTAATGTGCCAAATGGCCTGCTTCCACACTCTAGGGATTCTATGATTCTAAAATGGATAATGTGTTGATGAATAATAGTCACAAAAGCGATTAAATTGAAGAAGACCATCATGCCTCAACAATACAAAGCCATTGCCATATTTAGGTATTTCTCAAATGAAGATAATGTCTTGATCACATCAACCTTTCTTGGACTTCCAACTCTCACTCTCTTTCTACATGAAGAAATGTGTTTCAGTATGGTTCTGTATTTACTTTCTCCACTCTATTGTATTTTGCATGTCAGGAGAAAGTTCCCACTTCCCCACTTTTCACTGTGGCTGTAAAACCTTTGCCAGTAAATGAGATTTGATAAGGAAATTATGCATCATAGCACGTGTGTAATTTAGCAACTGGTTAAGTTTTGCCTATTGACGAAAGTGAGATCTAACAGTGCTGAGGAAGAGCTGCATTATTGGGGATGCTGTCTTTCAGTTAAGAAAATAAAGTGAAATCTCATCTGTTTGAATGCAATTTGATGAAATTAATCAAAGGTACAGGGTGTACGCCTGGAATTCTGACCAGGATTCTACCACATTGTCAGTGTTTCTGGATTCATATGTAGATCACTTCTGGTAAAGATGGCAGATTTCCTTCCCTAAAGGACATTCATGAACCAGATTTTAATAACAATCAACAGCCATTAGTGATGTCAGATTGCTTTTGGATTCTAATTTAATAAAGATACCAGGGGGAGATTTAAACCTGTGTTCCCAGAACGTTAGCCTGGGGTTCTGCATTACTAATTGACTTACATTACTGTTATTACACCATAGCCTTTATTGTCAGCTGAGTATCAGTAACTACGCTTCAAATTAATTCGTCGACTGTAGCGTGCTTTAGAAAGATTCTAAGAGTGTGATAAGGCATTCATTAGATGGCTCCTTAATATATGCAGGAACTCACACAGATTAATTGATTAATTTAAGATTGTGTCAACCGTGCTGTGCAACGCTCTTGTTGTGAAATGCCCTCTTGAATTACATCCTCGAGATATCTACCTTCAAACCTTTCTCTGTCAGCAGATCTTGTGGGGCAAGGGGAAGTGCTGCTGCATCTCAGAAAGAAGCTCCATGTCTGAGTCCCACCCCAGAGTTTGTTGGCCAAGGAAGGTGTGCTCAAACAGGTAGACATCCAACTTGCAAAAACTTCCAAAGCTCTTGCAATGACTCCTCACAATTTTGCTGACTCTTTCCAATTTCTATAGATGCACCATAGAAAGCATCCTATCTGGATACATCACAGGTAGGTAAGGCAACTGCTCTGCCCAAGACGGCAAGAAATTACAGAGTTGTGAATGCAGCCCAAACCATCACAAAAACCAGCCTTCCTTCTATTGATTCCATCTATGCCTCCCACTGCCTTGAGAAAGCAGCCAACATAATCAAAGTCCCCTCCCATCCCAGTTATACTCTCTTCCACCCTCTTCCAGAAAGATACATAAATTTGAAAACACTTTCCAACAGATTTAAGGACCGCTTCTTCTCCACTGTTATTGGACCTATGAATGGACCTCTCATCCATTAAAATCGATATTTCTTTGCACCTTCTTTTAGCTGTAACACTATGTATTCTGCATTCTGCTCAATTACCCTGATGTACTTATGTAAGGCATGATTTGTCTGGATAGCACGCAAAACAATGCTTTTCATTGTATCTTGGTACATGTGACAATAATAAATCAAATCAAAAAATCAAACATTGCATGCCAGTAGGAAGTGTGAAGGGTGTGAATGTTGGAGTGTCTACCATCACTATCCACAGCTCTAGGCTACAATGTGCACATTGCAACAACAACTTGGACTCTTTGGGGACCAGGTTGGCTGGATGACCAGTGCAGATCAGAGTGCCTGAAATAACTCCACAGAGGCTGGTATTCCATTACCAAGTCACTCTTTATTTACAAGTGGAGAGTTCTTGACACTGATCCAACTCCCTCAGAGCCAGGTCTCAGAGTGAATGGGATGTCTGACACTCAAATTCTTATCCGTCAGCCAGGGCTCCCTGGTTGGACCAATCAGGGAACTAATATTCCATGAGCAACAAAAACAAAGTTGCTGGAAAAGCTCAGCAGGTCCGGCAGCATCTGTGAAGGAGAAAACAGAGTTAACGTTTCGGATCCGGTGACCCTGAGGTCCAGGTGGTTGACCTTGTTACAATCGCTATAGTGCCAACGGCACAGAGTTCATCTCCGTCACAGCTGAATGGATTCGGGGCTTGCTTCTTCATTCTACCCATAGTAGAGGCTGAGAAATCAAGAGAGAGAAAAAAAAAAAATCCTCTGCAGTTTTGGAAAGGGGATGAGGATGTGCTACGGTTCTCTCTGAGTTGCTCTAGCAACATGTACTTTTACATCTGTGAGACTATGGATATTAATGGTGGAGACCACAGCAACTCAGACACCTGAATGCACTGAAAAACATACAAAACCTGGAGAAATTACTAGGCCTCAATACCTCACAAAATATGCTGGGATGCTGCATTGTACATAGCAAAGAAACCCCTTAATTGTATTAGATCTGCTATAGAATTCTTCTGTGAGTCACCCTGGCAGCATAAGTAATTTGGCCTTCTTTGTTTGAGAGAATGATTTAGATTTTGCAGCTTATTTCTTTTATAATACTTTTCTGGAGTGGCTGGTGAGGATAATTTAGCACTTTAAATTGCATTGTCATTACTTTGGCATATTCTCTTATTTGTCATATGTTTTCAAGGTGACAGAACAGCTCATGATAAACCAAGGGAGAACCAGAAGGAGCAGATAAGGATGTCACAAACTGTGGATATATGAAACACAATTACTAGCCTGCTGCATTTGTTCTCTCAGGTACAAATTAAAAATAGATTTATTTATTTGTAATCGGAAGAGATGGTCAATTCTTCTAAAATATGTCAGCTTGGGACAAGAGAGACCCAAATATTTTGCACAAATCATTTTCTTACATCACAGAGACTTTTTCTTTATAGAAGTATTGTGTGATTTATTTGGATTCTAGCCATGTATCTAAAAGGATTTGGATAATGGGAGGCCGTGATCTAGTGGTAATCCAGAATCTCAGGAAGATCTCTTGAGGTGCAAGGCTAGTGTCTCTCTGGACCAGGAGGCCTGGCTTCAAGTCCAAGTTGCACTAAAAGTGTGTAATCATTATTTTCCAACCCTTTTTGGTTCTAAGTAAGTCATGTCGGGCTGAAAGTGTTAATTCTGGCTTTTCTCTTTACAGGTGCTATCAGATAGCGGTGATAGGGTTGGCAGTGTGTAGCTCCTGAGCGCAGGGCTTGGCAGCTCATGGTTCATGTGGTGGATTCTGAAGCTGAAGACTTTCTGAAGAAGGGTCCTGACCTGAAACATCAACTTTCCTGCTCCTCTGATGCTGCCTGACCTGTTGTGTTCCTCCAGCTCTACACTGTGTTATTTCATTTTTCAGGACTATTGTTTCATTTCATCCTTTCTTCCCTTTTTCTATTTCTTTTCTGGACACCTTTATAACCAGGAATATTTAACACCGAATCCCATCCCTTGTTAAACCACGTCTCTATTTATGTCACAACATCATAATCCCACATGACTATCAGTGCCTGTAACCCCCCCAGTCTTAATCATTATACTCTGCATAACCATTTCAGCAATGTAACCCTGTTTAGACTTTCTGTCCTACTTCGACTCCACCTATTAACTTTCTGTTTTCTATTCTGGTGCTATCTCTGTATTTCAGCATGCTGGTATTACTCTCGGGTATTCTCTCCTAAATCCTGTATCCCTGCTGAGTTAACCCTCATCAACAGCATGAGCAAACCACCCCCACCAGGAACTCAGTTGCTGTTCTGTTCGGGTACAGCTCCTTTGGTTTGTACAGTGACATCTCCCCAGAGCCAGTCCCAGTGTCGTAGAACTCTAAGGCCCTCCCTCCTGCACTACCATTGTCCTATGTCTGTTCTCACTTGCGCACGGCACTGGAGACTACTACCTTTGATGTGCTGCTTGCTAATTCTCGACCTAGGCTCCCCAAATTCTGATTTCAGGCCACATTCCTTCTTCCTAGCTATGTTGTTGGTTCTCACGCAGAGTACAGCATCTGGCTTTATGCCCAAAAATATCCTGCAGCTGCTCTGTGACATTCATGACCCTAGTACCAAGGAAGCGACATATCATCAAACCAAAGGAACAGAAATGCCTGTCTGCTTCTCGAATCCCTGTCAGTACTGATCTCCCTCATCTTCATTCCCCCCTAGTACAACTGGGCCACCAGTAGTTACCTCTTGGTGCACTGCTTCAAGGAACTTTCATCCTCGCCAGTATCCAGAATGGAAAATTACTTTGCAAGAAGTATTCCTGCTCTACTTGCCTGATATCTTGGACTGTCTTGTGGTTACCTATTCACTCTCTGCCTACTTGCCCCTAAGCTGTGGTGTGACCACCTCCCCTGAGCATGTTATCCATGGCTCTCTGCCTCATGGATACACCTAAGTGACTCCAGCTGCCACTTTGAATTCTGAAATATAGCTCAAGCTTGTATAGCTGCTGCCACACGAAGTGTCCCCAAATCCTCCTCCTTGACAGGCATTCCACTTGGCCAAGCTACCCTGCCATTTCCTTAAGTTTACTTTTACCTTCGATTAACTCTAGTTTAGCTTGGGCTTAACTCAGTTCTGAAGAAGGGCCACTAGACTTCATAGAGTCATAGTCATGGAGTCATGCAGCGTGGAAACAGACCCTTCGGTCCAGCCAGCCCATGACTAACATAATCCCAAACTAAACTAGTCCCATATTCCTGCTCCTGGCCCATATCCCTCCAAACCTTTCCTATTCGTGTACTTATCCAAATGTCTTTTAAATGTTGTAATTGTAGCCACATCTACCACTTCCTCAGGAATTTCATTCCACACACAATCTGCCCTCTGTATATTCAAAAAAAAAAAAATTGCCCCTCGTGTCTTTATTAAATTCATCTCTCACCTCAAAAACGTGACCCCTAGTTTTGAAATCACCCATCCTAGGGAAAAGGCACCCTTTTCCTATTAACCCTTTCTGTACCCCTTATGATTTTATAAACCTCTATCAGATTGTCTCTCAACCTCCTACACTCCAGTGAAAAAAGTCCCAGAGTAGCCAGCCTTTCTTTATACCTCAAACCTTCCATACCCGACAAAGTCCGAGTAAATCTCTTCTGAACCCTCTCCAACTTAATAATATCCTTCCTATAAACACTAACTGTGTTTTCTCTCCACAGATGCTGCCAGACCTGTTGAGTTTCTCCAGCACTTTCAGCTTTGTGGCATCCACAGTTCTTTGTATTATTTACTTACTTTAATTTTACTTTAGCTTTAATTCAACTTACCTTAGTGTAACATTACTCACTTTAACTTACTTTAAATTTACTTTTGCACTGTTTACTATAAGCGGGAGCTTATTAAATAGCAGAGATTCTTCACCCTTACTCCAAATCAGCTCCTTCCCTTGGACTATAAATCCTTAATTGCCCTGTACTAGTTTGGGGTGGTATAGTGGCTCAGCAGTTAGCACTGCTGCCTCACAGTGCTAGGGACATTGTTTCAATTCCGCCCTCAGTGACTGCCTGTGTGGAGTTGACACATTCTCCCCCTGTCTCCGTGCGTTTCCTCTGGGTGGCTCTGGTTTCCTCCCACAGTCCAAAGATGTGCAGGTTATTGGGTTGGCCATACTAAGTTGCCCCGTAGTGACCAGGGATGTGCAGCCAAGTGGATCAGCCACAGGAAATGTAGGGTTACAGGGATAGGGTAGGAGGCTGGGGCTGGGTCTGGGTGGGATGCTCTTCGAAGGGTCAGTGTGGACGCAATGGGCTGGATGTCTTGCTCCCACACTGTAGGGATTCTATGATTCTAGTTGAGAAGTTTCCAGCTTTCAGAATGACTGTAGCTGAAATACAGTCCTAAACAAGCAGCTGCTCAAAAACCACAACTTTCCTGTGATGTCAATGTTAACATGTTTCTCTGCTGCTGTGTCATGTTCTGGAGGCTTTCTGCCTCTGTTCCTGAACCCAAGTCCAGCCTGCATTGGGAAAAGGTGAAAGGCTTCACTGAAATGAAAATAAGCATATTGAAAAGCTTGATTCAAGGGGAAAATGACACAAGCCCTGATTGATAGTGAAAACAGCACTGAAAAGGAAAAATAAACAAAAATCTGTGGATGACGAAAACCCAAAACAAAAACAGACATTGCTGGGGAAGCTCAGCAGATCTGGCAGCTTCTGTGGAGAGAGAAAGCAGAGGTAACATTTCAATTCCAGTGACCCTTCTTCAGAATGATTAAAATGATGGTCAGTTGCTGATGCTGCTTTGCTGTACTCTTGTCGTTTTAACATCAGCATTTTCACAACTCTCAGGCCTCTTGCATGTTAAATCACTATCTTTCCTATTGCTGTCAGTGCTTAATACTATGTTAGGTATTAAAGCTCTTTTATTAAAGAAATCTGATACAGATAACGTATTTGATTAACCATCTCGATACATAAATGCATGGACTAGACCATTTGGTCATTTGAGTCTGCTCTAGCATTCAGTAACTCAGCCTCCTGTCTCCATTTTCTCTCCCTACCCTTCAATCCATTTAGCCGTAAGAACTATATCTAACTCCTTCTCAAAAACATTTAATGCTTTGGCCTCAACCTTCTCTGTGGCAGAGAATTCCACAGACTCACACTCTCTAGGGGTAGAAATTTCTACTCATCTCAGTCCTAAATGGCCTAACCTGTATCCTTAGACTGCAACTCCTGGTTCTAGACTCCTCAATCATTAGGGACATCCTTCCTGTGTTTATCCTATCCCATCCTGTTAGAATGTGATAATGACCAGATACTCTGTTCTGATGATTATTGGTTGAATAATAAATATTGAACCATATTTTGGAGGGAACTCCACGCCATTCTTTATAAAATAGTGCTTAAGGGGCCTTATACATCAATGTGAGGCGGGATGGTGGTCATGGATCTCAGTTTAACACCTCACTGGAAAGACAGCTCTCCTGACAGTGCTGTTGACTTTCAGTATCTGTTGGAGTATCCTTGTGGATTTTGCCCTCAAGTCTGGCGTGGGACTGACTGAGTCTCAACCAGGGTCAACACTTCGCAGAGAATGTCAATTGGAAATGAGTAAAGGAAGGGGACTTGGAGAATAAGTGGTGCAAGATGGGATGGAAGGCAGAATGTAGGGTTGAAGTGGGAGGGACACACTCACACAGTGGATGGATTAGAGGATGAGAAGGAAGATTTTGGAAAGTGATGCAAATGAGTGACTGGAACCCAATGTTGGTCACCAAGGAAGGATGAGTGATAGTTGAGTAGAGTACATGTTAGGGTCTTGGCAGCTGAGACCTGAATGAATTGGATACTCATGTGTGACAGTGCTTGGATTTTCAACAAGATGAGTATCAAATCTTCAAGCTTGGAGGTGATAAATGCATGGATCAAAATTCTAATTTTCGTGGAATAAGATAGGAGTGGAGGTGAGTGAAGATGAAGGTACACTGTCTTAGCAATGACTTAGTTGTCTGAAACTTGAGCCCGAGCTAAAGGTTGACCATGAGGATATATGCTATCATGGTTGAATTTGGTCAGCCACTGAATGAGGGCGAATTGGTCAGTGAGACACGATTGTGCAGTTTTTACAAGACAGCAGAATCAGCGTACTGTTAGTTTTTGCCAATGCTTTGAGGCATGTAGCCTTAGACCACTCACAAGTTGTCACACCAGCAGCAATGTCTGGAGCGAAATGTCAAAGAGGATTCTAGTGCAAATTGCACTAGAATGAAATGCAAAAGGACTCAACCTGTGAAAACGTTATTGAAACAAAGTCCTGGAGAAACTGAATAGGCCTGGCAGCATGAGAGAGAAACAGAGCTAACGTTTTGAGTTCAAAATGGCTCTCACTCAGGACTGACTGTCTTTTGGAAGCGTGGATAACTAGAACGTAGATAATGGATGTTTTACCAAGCTGTGAAGAGAAAAATGTAATGTTTTTCAAACAGTCTAAATTTAACTTAAATGAGTATGTCACGTCCATGGTGTTATAGAAGTTTTATCTCAAACTGACGACATTCCAATACATTCATTGACAGGATGCGAGCCATTTCAACTGAGTCGTCTAATCACTCAGTTTTATTTCCTGAACGTTACTTCCTCAAATTAAACGGTTGTCAGTGATGAGTTTATGACATGTAGTGTAATACTTCACAGTGCAATCCAATGTCGCAAGACCAGATAGTACATTGAGTTCTGTGTGCTTTGGTGGCATTTTATGCCTGAAATAATAGATATGGTATCAGCCTGATTTTGTAATTTACCAAGACAAATTGGTCTTATATGCCCATTATTTAACCAGTAATGTAATACAAAATCAAATTTAAAATTAGCATGAACTAATGGCAAGCCAGAAGACATTTTAACTCGAAGCTGACCATATCTATATTGTGCCTCTTTGCTATCGTTTAAAATCCGTTTAAGTTAATCGTGTACTGCGCTTTTTGAAGAATAAACTGCCTTTACTTTAATTTTAGTACTTCTCTTCCTGTCACTTCTGTTTGTGGCATCTATCATTTATCTTCTGTTCTCCCCTTCACCCCAACATATTGCTTCCTATTCAGAACAAACTTGTCAGCTGATAAGAAACTGTTCAAAAATGCCTCTCAAAAATCTATAGGGAGAGAGAGGGAGTGGAAAATGAAAAATTGGAATGTGGTTGTGCGGGGGTGCTAATAACGTTCAAAACCATTCGTAACCAATGCAACTACGCAACCTCCCAGCTGGTTTGCAGAGCTCACTCCCTGTTGTAAACACACGTTTGACTACACTTTCCAAACATACAGTCAACACATTCTTGCCCATTAAGTTTCAGTCACCAAAAATCCAACCATTAGTGTGCCTGAATTTATTGGGAACCAAAAGTTAGAATTCAAATTTATTTTATAAATATGTCATTGATGAAAGTATTAATATTAATGTGAACCAAGACACCAAGAATGTGCTGACTCGATAATTGGAAAGTGTGGTCAAAAATGCGTTTTCAGCAGGGAGTGAGGTCTGCAAACCAGCTGGGAGGTTTGGCAGTTACATTGGTTCTTGCTTCTAGCACATGCCTCAGGAAACATAAAAAATAGGTGCAGGAGGTGGCCATTCAGCCCTTCAAGCCTGCGCCATCATTCAATATGATCATGGCTGGTCATGCAATTTCAGTATCCTACTCCCGCTGTCTCTCCATACCCCTTAATCCCTTTATCCGAAAGGGCCATGTCCAGCTCCCTCGTGAATATATCTAATGAACTGGCTCCAACGGCTTCCTGTGGGTGAGAACTCCACAGGTTCACAACTGTCTGAGTGAAGAAATTCTTCCTCATCTCAGTCCTGAATGGCTCACCCCTTATTCTTAGACTGTGACCCCCTAGATCTGGACTTCCCCAGCATCGGGAATATTCTTCCTGCAGCGAGCTTGTCCTGTCCCATCAGAATTTTATCTGTTTCAATGATATCCGCCACCAAACCTCCCACCCCCCGCACCCACCCACCGCCCACTACCCTCATTCTTGTAAATTCCAGTGAGTGCAAGCCCAGTCAATCCAAAAATCCAGTAATTTGCCAGCATCACGAGAATGCTCTTCTGGGACCTGCAAAGTTCCAGCCAGTCCTGTCCAGACCATCCATCCTTCCCCACATCAAGGCTCCAAAGAGTTCCTGTCCTCCACACTCACCTTACAGCTGACAG